AGAGAATATATATATATATATATATATATATATATATATATATATATATATATATATATATATATATATATATGTATATATATGTATATATATATAATATAGTCTTCTGTGTTGCGCGCTTGGACCTTGATTCGGAGTGTGGAGCGATGACGAGGACGATAATAACAACGAGGACGACACGGAATCCCATCCAAAGTCTCTCTGTTCTCCAGTATCCGGTTCGCATTTTCATCCGGTTATCTCTAAGAGCGGAATTCTTTTAATTGCACGCGCCGTGACACGGTTCCGTGTATAGTCTTCGTTTGTCACGCGGAACGCGTCGTCCATCCGATTTACCAAAGTTGCCATTAGAGACTTCTTCCAGCGACGACGACGACGACGACGACGACGACGACGACGACGACGACGACGAAGACGACGACGAAGACGACGACGACGTCCTCAATTTGATATTCGAACGGTCGACGCCACCGGCGTTGTTCTGTGTATTCTCCCGTTTCGATCGTTAACCGAAATATTATCACACTTACGCTTCTTGCAGTTTTGTTTTGTTTTCTCGTAACGATAACGACGATCGCTGATTAAGAGGGTGGGGCCATAGAATCACGTGGACAACATCGATGAGAAGGGTTCAAGTATGCAGGGGCTTCAAGTTTTCTTTTTTTTTACAGTTCTATCAGTCGAGGATGCGTATAGCTCGTGTCTGCACACGTATGCGATGCCAGTCGTATTATTTATTAATGATATAATTACACGCGTGTGTGCCTTGCACGTAAAAATCCGTATAGAGGCGAGTGTGTATGTATGTGTGTACGTGTGTGTGGCGGCCGATGTTTCGCTGATCGATCGTTCTTTTTTTTTGTGCCATTTGCTCGTGATCCGTCGTCGATCATTACCATCATCTTCACCATCACCATCACCATCATCATCATTATTATCATCATCATCATCATCATCATCATTGTCGTCATTATCACCATCATTACCATTATCATCACCATCACCATCATCATCGTCAGCGTTATCATATCATCATCATCATCATTATTATTATGATCACCATTATCATCATCGGTCGACTGATCTTTCGATCGTTTTGGTAGTCTGCTATTTTTAGTTGATAGTGGTGGAGAGTAGTAGTTATAGTGGTAGCAGTAGTAGTAGTAGCGGTAGTAGTAGTGGTAGTAGTAGTAGTAGTAGTAGTAGTAAGTAGTAGTAGTAGTAGTAGTAGTAGTGGTAGTAGTAGTGGTAGTAGTAGTAAGTAGTAGTAGTAGTAGTAGTAGTAGTAGTAGTAGTAGTAGTAGTAGTAGTAGTAGTAGTAGTAGTAGTAGTAGTAGTAGTAGTAGTAGTAGTAGTAGTAGTAGTAGTAGTAGTAGTAGTAGTAGTAGTAGTAGTAGTAGTAGTAGTAGTAGTAGTAGTAGTAGTAGTAGTAGTAGTAGTAGTAGTAGTAGTAGTAGTAGTAGTAGTAGTAGTAGTAGTAGTAGTAGTAGTAGTAGTAGTAGTAGTAGTAGTAGTAGTAGTAGTAGTAGTAGTAGTAGTAGTAGTAGTAGTAGTAGTAGTAGTAGTAGTAGTAGTAGTAGTAGTAGTAGTAGTAGTAGTAGTAGTAGTAGTAGTAGTAGTAGTAGTAGTAGTAGTAGTAGTAGTAGTAGTAGTAGTAGTAGTAGTAGTAGTAGTAGTAGTAGTAGTAGTAGTAGTAGTAGTAGTAGTAGTAGTAGTAGTAGTAGTAGTAGTAGTAGTAGTAGTAGTAGTAGTAGTAGTAGTAGTAGTAGTAGTAGTAGTAGTAGTAGTAGTAGTAGTAGTAGTAGTAGTAGTAGTAGTAGTAGTAGTAGTAGTAGTAGTAGTAGTAGTAGTAGTAGTAGTAGTAGTAGTAGTAGTAGTAGTAGTAGTAGTAGTAGTAGTAGTAGTAGTAGTAGTAGTAGTAGTAGTAGTAGTAGTAGTAGTAGTAGTAGTAGTAGTAGTAGTAGTAGTAGTAGTAGTAGTAGTAGTAGTAGTAGTAGTAGTAGTAGTAGTAGTAGTAGTAGTAGTAGTAGTAGTAGTAGTAGTAGTAGTAGTAGGTGGTAGTAGTAGTAGTAGTAGTAGTAGTAGTAGTAGTAGTAGTAGTAGTAGTAGTAGTAGTAGTAGTAGGTGGTAGTAGTAGTAGTAGTAGTAGTAGTAGGTGGTAGTAGATGGCCTACAGTGAGCGTACGTAACGAGAGTCTTATTATCGATCGGATTATGCAACGTGAACACACAATGACGTAGTTGCGCGGTACTGCGTACAGAAATATATTATTATAGTCTTTTAGTTTCGATAAAAAAGTTCAGTTCCCTCCTCGATTGATTTCCTCATCTCGAGGTGGCGCGCTTTCTCTCTCTAATATCTCACTCGCCCTATATCTTTCTCTCCCGCTCTCGCTCGCACACGCTCTTTCTTTCTCTCTCTCCCTCTCGAACTTTTATAGTTTTCTTTTCATTTAATTATTTCTCGAATTTCATTTATTTCTCTCTCGTTTAAAGCATTCTATCCTCCTCCCCTCGTCTCTCGAGCTCTCTTTATACTCTATCCTCCGCAATCTTCGCACCTCCCGCTTTTCCTCTGATTCTCTCTCCTCGTTCTTCTCCACGTCTCTTCCGTTTCGTCCATCCTCCGTTAACAGGCTCACCCCTTGTCCCTTCCTCCGTTTTTTTATCACGTTTCTCAACACACACGGCTCTCTCTCCGTTCCCTCCTTAAAACCTCCTTCTTCGTTTTGTACAATGCAACGAACACACAGATTTATATTATTTATAACGTACTTTTATATAATTATCATACAATACGCAAACAAAGCCTTTCCCCCGTATTATGTCCCCCGTATAAGTGGTCACTGCTGTTTCTTCGTCGGTTCTTCCGCGACTCTGTTTGCATTCTTGTTCGATCGGTTTCTATTACATTCTCTCCTCTCTCTGGTGGTTGTGTGTAAATTTATATATTATATTATACATATACATAAATATATACATAGATACACCAGCGTATGCATGTACATATATATTTATATGTTTGTATGTATAGTATGTATATAGGTAGTCAGCTTCGTTTATCGTCAGTTGGGCTTTTTTATTTACTATCTTTGAATTGCTGAGTTCAATAGGAAAGGAACGTAGAACATTTTACTCTCGAGTAGAAGAGCTGCCGCCGATTGTACCTGGAATCCAGCAAGAAAACAGATTCGACTTAGACCTGGCCACTTTGCAAACCGATCCGCAATTTAACTATCGATATGTACTGATTATACTAGGCAACGTGTCTCGATTGTTTTGATCTTTTTTCGACTCGTGATTATCGTATAAAGCGATGCCTCGACGGCATTCGTAATTCTCAAAGGTTTCGGTATACAACTATTGGAAAGTTGCAACGAGATTATTATTATTATTATTATTATTATCATCATAGTTAGCTTGAACGACCGGAAATGCTTCTTCTCTCGAACTTACTTCCGGCAACCTGACGAGAAGATCGTGAAACCGAGTCGGCTGTTGGGGCGCGCTGTGCTCGACAAAACTTCGCAGACAGCTCATGTACCGTTCTTGTATTTGTTCTAATTCCATTGTACCTCCACGTGCTAAGAGAGGACAGAAACAAAAGCGACACTGTGAACATGTACAAAACGCTTTCACGGGCTCCTTAATTAACTTGCTTCGGATTTCGTTCGGCAACAAGCTCCTTCGTACTTTTCTTACGATCCCCGTCCATTTGTATTTGCCACAAATGTTGCCATGTATTTGCTATATATTTTTGTGCAGACAGTGTATTTTTCTACAATCGAACGAGATTTAGATTGTGGATTTTATGTATTTATGATTTTGTGTATATACTGTTTTCAATTTATAAAAATTATCAAAGAACAAAAATGACCCATTTGGTTTCCATAATGATTCGTAATAATGATTTATACATACATAAAAATTGCACGTTACGCAGATGTTAATTAAAAATTGTCGTGCTCGAAAATTGTGTTTGAATTTGGAAGCTTTAATGAAAAGAGAACAATGAAACGGATCGGTTAGATTGTGGAAATTGTTAAAGGATCTTTAAAGTAATTCTAATGAAAATAATTGGATCGTCGTTCTACGATAAATCGTTCGAGAAAGTACTTGTTGCTGAACCAAAGATCGGAACAAACATTTGCATAAAATAACGTGTGTATTTATATAAATAACACCGCTCACGATTATTCGAAGTTCGAAGATTATTTTGAACGAAAAGTTACAAAGTTTTCAAAACGATCACGAGCACGATACCGCAAATATTTGTAAAAGTTTGTATCAATTGGTAGCGAACTTACATTTTGCATCTCCAATTGCAGCATTATCAAAAATTGCAAAATTACTTTATACTTTTCGATTCTCGAAAACGTTACAGGTGGATCGTGTTAAACCGTTGTTAAGCGGGTACACAGTAAATTCTCCTTAATTGACGCTATTTTCAATTCGGGAAGAAAAGATACTAACTATAAAAAAGGAGCCGCAATGCTCAAATAACACAATAATTAATGCATAATTCTTGTGTAGAGCTTTGATCCCCGAAGAAAAATCCGGAAACCGAATTGCTCAAGAAAAAAGCCCGGAATCGTCGACAAAAATGAGGCATTGCGTGAAAAGTATAATCGTTAGAAAGCTCTAATCGGTCTCAAAAGATAGAGTAGAGTTTTGCGAATATAGTGGCATACGATTTATTAATTGTTCTTGGTCCTAAATAACCGTAAATTAACGTGAAAGTTTAAAAAAGCGCCGACGTCCATTTTCGTGCGCAATCCGAGCGTCGATTAGGGAGGATTTACCGTATTAGGCGAAAATACTTACCTTGTGAGAGCATGGTGATTACTTTCAGACAGACGTACTCCTCCATCCGTAGCCTCACCCTCCTGAACATTAGCGTGACGTACGTGATTTTTTCCACCATGAGCCCCACGTCCTGCCGTAATTGGTCCATGGTTATCGGCCGGCCCATCATGCTGGTCAGGCACGTTTGTAGCGTATACATGTTGTTCGAAACCTGTGCAATAAACAAATCCATCTCGGTAAAATCCTCGAACGAATCTTCCCCTACGATTTAATTTAATCTACAATTTAATTGAACCCTTTCGAAGGTACTAGGAACTAAGCTTTTCACCCCCTTTTATAGCGCGCATACGGGCACTAGGCTCAAATATTGAAACGTGCTGCCATCTATATATAGGTCTCAGCACCCCTAATTTTGAGGGGTGAGAAATTGAGAATAACAGGAAAATGAATAACAGCTGTATCACTATATGATAAAATTATGGTAAGCGAATGTTCCAATTTTCTTGAGAATTCATATTGTATACCCATGAAAGGGTTATAAAGACTCAAAATCTGACCGCTAAGATCTTATGCTACTTTCCTGTATTTATGGTTGAAATATGCGACAGATAAAATTCTGTTTCAGATATTAACAGTCTCAACAAATTAAAAATTGCTCGCTTCTGCATCCCCTTTTATTTCACAGCTTGTCGACCTCAGTTTCAAATAAAGTTTTTGACGCACTGATTGCAAAAAAGAAGAAGAAACACGAGCCAAATTCGATAGTCACAGATTCCTTTGATCTTTCTGCTATCTTAAATTTCATTTATTCGTGATCGTCGCACACGCATGGACGAGGTTCGCGCGCACGGTTAATTATGATATCCGCTTTACTCCCGAATACATACTCGGAATCGTTTATACCAACCCCAAGGGCGGATAAATATATGAAATTTAAATTGTACATATGTCACACGGTTGCAGCTGAATATTTCATGCACTAAATTTAGCTTTCTGAGACGGCCCACCTGTTGATCCAATATTTCTTGCGGATACACATAGTTCGAAGCGAGTGAAATAGAAGGAAATGCAGCTGTTCGAAGCGTGCCGCACTATTTATTTGCATACAACGTGGACTCAGTATCCGGTCCTGCGTAAAGAACACGGTGAAATGTTCGTCGGTAATCGTCGACGCAAAACCCTATCGAAGATCAGAACCGTCGAGCTTCCTTGATCGGAATCTTTTCGCTTAACCCTTTGCACTCGAAGCGATTTTAAACGAAAAACTGAAATAATTGTTCTGACTTATAGTATTTTGATATTTTATCTGACCTTTCTACCGAAGATCAGAATCGTCGAGCTTCCTTGATCGGAATCTTTTCGCTTAACCCTTTGCACTCGAAGCGATTTTAAACGAAAAACTGAAATAATTGTTCTGACTTATAGTATTTTGATATTTTATCTGACCTTTCTACCGAAGATCAGAATCGTCGAGCTTCCTTGATCGGAATCTTTTCGCTTAACCCTTTGCACTCGAAACCATTTTAATTGAAAAGCTAAAATAATTCTTCTGACTTATAGTATTTCCATTTTATATGACAAAGTGCATTTTATGCACTTAAAATTGAATCCTTTGATTCGTGCAACGGTTATACCTGTCTCTTATACACATCTAGATGTGTATAAGAGACAGGTATAACCGTTGCACGAATCAAAGGATTCAATTTTAAGTGCATAAAATGCACTTTGTCATATAAAATGGAAATACTATAAGTCCTGTCTCTTATACACATCTAGATGTGTATAAGAGACAGGTATAACCGTTGCACGAATCAAAGGATTCAATTTTAAGTGCATAAAATGCACTTTGTCATATAAAATGGAAATACTATAAGTCCTGTCTCTTATACACATCTAGATGTGTATAAGAGACAGGTATAACCGTTGCACGAATCAAAGGATTCAATTTTAAGTGCATAAAATGCACTTTGTCATATAAAATGGAAATACTATAAGTCCTGTCTCTTATACACATCTAGATGTGTATAAGAGACAGGTATAACCGTTGCACGAATCAAAGGATTCAATTTTAAGTGCATAAAATGCACTTTGTCATATAAAATGGAAATACTATAAGTCCTGTCTCTTATACACATCTAGATGTGTATAAGAGACAGGTATAACCGTTGCACGAATCAAAGGATTCAATTTTAAGTGCATAAAATGCACTTTGTCATATAAAATGGAAATACTATAAGTCCTGTCTCTTATACACATCTAGATGTGTATAAGAGACAGGTATAACCGTTGCACGAATCAAAGGATTCAATTTTAAGTGCATAAAATGCACTTTGTCATATAAAATGGAAATACTATAAGTCCTGTCTCTTATACACATCTAGATGTGTATAAGAGACAGGTATAACCGTTGCACGAATCAAAGGATTCAATTTTAAGTGCATAAAATGCACTTTGTCATATAAAATGGAAATACTATAAGTCCTGTCTCTTATACACATCTAGATGTGTATAAGAGACAGGACTTATAGTATTTCCATTTTATACGACAAAGTGCATTTTATGCATATAAAATTGAATCCTGTGATTCATGCAACGGTTACACTATTAGCAATCGTTTAAATTTAAGCTTCGACGACGTTAAAATTATTTTGGAACGCGACGTAAGATTTTTAGCGGCGCCTCGAGGTCGCCGCACGAGTGCAAAGGGTTAAATCGAATATAATCGTGAAAACAAGTTCGGTTCGCTGAATGTTAAAATTAAGGTTAAAAATAAGAAAAATAGAACAGAATGAACTGTACCATCGAGCACGAGATGCTACGGGCTTCGACGACGTTAAAATTATTTTGGAACGCGACATAAGATTTTTAGCGGCGTCTCGGGGTCGCCGCACGAGTGCAAAGGGTTAAATCGAATATAATCGTGAAAACAAGTTCGATTCGCTGAATGTTAAAATTAAGGTTAAAAATATGAAAAATAGAACAGAATGAACTGTATCGTCGAGCACGAGATTCTATATACGGGCTTTGATGATGTTAAAATTATTTTGGAACGCGATGTAAGATTTTTAGCGGCGCCTCGGGGTCGCCGCACGAGTGCAAAGGGTTAAATCGGATATAATCGTGAAAACAAGTTCGATTCGCTGAATGTTAAAATTAAGGTTAAAAATATGAAAAATAGAACAGAATGAACTGTATCGTCGAGCACGAGATTCTATATACGGGCTTTGATGATGTTAAAATTATTTTGGAACGCGATGTAAGATTTTTAGCGGCGCCTCGGGGTCGCCGCACGAGTGCAAAGGGTTAAATCGGATATAATCGTGAAAACAAGTTCGATTCGCTGAATGTTAAAATTAAGGTTAAAAATATGAAAAATAGAACAGAATGAACTGTATCGTCGAGCACGAGGTGTTACGAGCCACCATAGACGGTCCTCGCCTCTGATCCCAGCCAAACTGGGAGCCCGGCCGCTTCGGGGCTGTTTCTGGCAGGTTTCAAAGTGAAAGTTCCGAATCCCCGAATCAGCGGCGACAGCAGAGAAACGGGACGCCGAACGAGACGCCGGATAAAGAGAGACGGTAATTACTTCTTGCATAAAATCCGCTCCCGTCCCGTCGGCACCGACGTTGGTGAACTTGTGCTGACCGTGCATCGCTTGGTAGGCGGAGGTGGTCAACACCAGCAGTTCGTGCCACTTGTGGGTGAGCAACCTTGTGTGAACTTCGACCGGTAACTCAAGGTAAAACGGTAACCTTTTGGTCCACTGCACCAACTTGTACACTATGCTGTCTCCTATCTGACACAGCTTCTCACTTAAGTCTGATTTATGGTCCAGCAGCTCGTCCAAGTTCTGCAATCAGAGCGGAAGAAGTTCGTGAGTGAGTGAGTGAGTGTGATCGATTGAAAAGATTCTACTTTGGTATAGGGGGAAGGGGGGATCTAGATTTGATTAGCAACGAAGATCAAGCGTCTTCGAATATTTCGAGGAATTTCCATCGCGTTCGGTTTAACACTTTGCGGTCGAAGCTATTTCAATTCGAAATCCAAAACGTGTTTTCTGATGGATATTTCCATTTTATGTGATTCAATACGATTTATTCAGATGAAATTCAGCCTATTGGCAAGTAGGATACTTGCAATTTCGACAGTTTTTAAAATTATTAAGGAATCTGATACTGTTACAGTTATTTAGAATAATTAATAATGATAATATTAATATAATATAATTAGTAATATATTTATTAGATTATATATAATAATATTATATATAAATATAATTAATAATATATTTATTAGATTATATATAATAATAATATTATATATAAATATAATTTAATTATTATAATATAGTCAAAAATATATTTATTAGATTATATATAATAATATTATATATATATATCTGATTTAATTATAATAATATAATTAATAATATATTTATTAGATTATATATAATAATACTATATATAAATATAATTTAATTATAACAATATAATTAATAATAATAATTTTTAGCGGCGCCTCAGAGTCGCCACTCGAGTGCAAAGGGTTAATATTTTTCGAATCGTACGCCTCAACGTTGTCAGCAATATATATAAAATTAACACGCCTGCTGTGAAATTCTGCGTTGCTGGTAATTTCGTTACGATTCGATACGACTTTTTATCGTACGCGATATTTCGAGACCGCGAGCCAAGGGAAATTGCGGCAACAAATAGGGCGCGTTTCTTCCGAGATTAATGCGCGATTCGAACGGAATCGCATCGAACGATTCCTAATCTCGTGTTCCAGTGAAACGGTATCGTCGGAGAACGCGGAGCATTCCAAGCGCATTCGCGATGAACGAAATTGACGTTTCAATTGGCAAAGAGTTAATCGGCTGTTCGTAACGGCCTTCTTCTTCTCCGTGCCTTCGTGCAAAGTACATTTTAAGTGCACGTAATTTGCCGAAAGTAGGGAGTATTCGCAATGATTCCGCGGGAGCGATTCTTTCTCTTCGTTTCGAAGAGACGGTTGTTGTCGTTCAACCCGGCACTTACGCGGGGGGAGAAAGAAGCATTATAGCTCAGGAACGGAATGATTGATGATGGGATTACCAGGATGTGGTCGGGAAAATATATAATACAATATACAGACTGGTCGAACGTACCCTCAACGTGGCGATATCTTGGAACTCGTCGCAGTCTATAAGGGTTTGGATCATGGCGAGGGTCGTGTCCAAAGGGAATGCTCGATCCCTCGAACTGCTCACAGCGTTGTCTAGCCTCTGCCTTAAATGAACCACCTTGAACAGAAAAGATTTCTTCATGAGTACTGTCTTACGTTTATTTTTAATTTAAACTTATTCTTGGCTTTAAATTAACACTTTTCTTATGGTCACTTAACACATACGTTGGTAGATCGCTGTTTATAAGTTAAAAAAACAGGTATATAATATAATAAAAATAATAAATATAATAAATATAGTGAACATATAATCTAATAAATCTAATAAATATAGTGAACATATAATCTAATAAATCTAATAAATATAGTGAACATATAATCTAATAAATCTAATAAATATAGTGAATATATAATTTAATAAATATAATAAATATATAATCTATAAACATAATAAATATAGTGAATATTTATATAAGCTAATAAATATAATTAATATATAATCTAATAAAAGTAATTTGAAGAAACTTAAGAAAAATGTTTGGCCACCTCTGGTCTGGAATAAACGATCTTTAAACAAATCCCGTATATATTCTCTTATTTCAATCAGTATCTCCCGTATTTTCGCGTAACAATATCCCAAGAAAAAATAACACCCGATACGGAGAACATTTATTCTCAGTTTTCGTACAATTTCATGTCACACGGTATCCAAACAATAATCGCCATTTCGAATCTAATTTTGCTAGAGATTATTTTCCCTCCAAATAATATAATACATTGCTAATTAATCCCTCGCGCTCGGATGTTATCTCTCGGAAGACGCAACGATCGTGGCACTTTCAAAATTAAAAATTCTTGGTATATTGTATAATTAGTATCGATTCAATCTTACACAAAATTCCACTTCAAAGGAGTCATCATTCGTCGCATAATTTTGCATTTTCTTTCAGAATCGTTCGGCAAAACCGCTTCGCGGATCAAGCGAACACGTCCATAGTGGTCGGCAGCGTGTCCGAGAAAATCGTTCGGGTGCGAAGCGCGCGGAGATTTTCCGTAACGGCAGAACCGTTCACGGCGATCCAGTTCCCATTCATGGCGCCGAAACGGAACGGTCAGCATCGCGGCAAGGGTCACCGCCGCGTAGCATTCGCAACGGTGGTAGTAACGGCGGCGAATCGAACGAGAAAAATTTCTTGAATGGAACGGGGCTACGGTCCCGTCTCGTCCCGTCCCGTGCCGTCGTCCATCGATCCGCCGCCGAGCCGGAAAGTTCAAGACAAAACGTGGTTCGGTACGGTTTCGAAAGTTTCGCGACCTCGCGGGTCGTGTCAGGGACCGTCGTCGTCGCGGTTCAATTATTTCGATCCATCGATCGGCGGTGGGGATCCCGCGCTTCCTACGTAAATCCGATCCGGCCTTTCACTGACCTTTCGGACCTCGTTGTACTTCCTCGAGGTCGGTATTCGTCGGCTGGAGACACGACCGGAGAGAAAGAGAGAGTGAGGGAGGGCGAGAGTGAGAGTGAGAGAGAAAGAGAGAGAGTCTAAGCAAGAGAGAAAGAGAGAGAGAGTCTAAGCAAGAGAGAGAGAGAGAGAGAGAGAGAGAGAGAGAGAGAGAGAGAGAGAGAATCTAAGCAAGAGAGACTCTAAGCAAGAGAGAATCTAAGCAAGAGAGAATCTAAGCAAGAGAGAATCTAAGTAAGAGAGAATCTAAGTAAGAGAGAATCTAAGCAAGAGAGAGAGAGAGAGAGAATCTAAGCAAGAGAGAGAGAGAGAGAGAAAGAGAGAGAATGAGTCTAAGCAAGAGAGAATTTAAGCAAGAGAGAGTCTAAGCAAGAGAGAGAGAGAGAGAGAGAAAGAGAGAGTCTAAGCAAGAGAGAGAAAGAGAGAGAATCTAAGCAAGAGATAGAGAGAGAGAGAGAGAGAGAGAGAGAGAGAGAGAGAGAGGTCGCGAGCCAGCGATCCTCCGGCGAAAGCTGCGAGAGGATATATAACCCTTAAGTTTCGTCGACACGGACGGAACGTCGAACCGTGGGACACGTTCGTCGCTGAAGGCGATCGCCGCCGATACAGGTACGGTGGAGGGATCGAAGGTGTTGGAGGAGGAAGAGAAGGAGGTAGGGTGAGGTCAGTGTCCCTTGTGCAGACTTTCACGAGTTACGAAACCGTCGGAGAACTGCCCGTCCTTGGCACCGGCTGTCGCTGATTTTCTATTGTCCCTACCTCCGAGTCCTCGTCGCCGTCGTAGTCGTCGTAGTCGCACTGTTTCACTCGGACGCTTCGATCCGACGTCGACAACGGCTGACGCTTTTCGAGCGTCGTGACGATTCTTATCGGGGCCCGCCGATTTTTCATTCTTTGTCCGCTTCTGTTTACTTTAGCGACCGCGACCAGACAATATATTGGATTTTTCCTGATCTTCTCCCCCTCCCTCCCTCCCTCTACTTGCTCGTCGTTTACGCTTGCCATTGTTCCGACGGTCTATTAGTGTGACGGACCTGGTCCTGGCGAACGTCGCAACTTTTCCGTTCGTTGGATTCCGTTGATTGGATACAGTAATGTCTCCCTAACTGACGCTCAGATTGCGCACGAAAATGGACGAATTTGGAAAGAGGAGACACGATTGTTCGAGCCTTGTGTTCAATAGTTACCGATTATTGTCAACAACTATGAAAACGTGACGCAAGGCATTTTCGACTGAGATAACTGGGTTGAGTAAACAATGTCTAAAAGCGGAAAAACATTTTTAGCGGAGTCGTAATCTTTTATGATTAGTTTAGACAATTTTTATTTCGTATAATTGTATATTTCGTACATATATATTATATATTTTATTTCTTTTTATTATAACAATTATAATCGTATCACCTCTCCCCAAATTGTCCATTTTTGAGCGCAATCTGAGCGCGAATTAGGGAGACATTCCTGTTCACAGTAACCAAGAGTCTGAATGACTACTTCGAACGACGAATTAACCTTGTCAAATGTACCCAAAGGGTTAACCCTTTGCACTCGAGTGAGGCGCTGAGTCGACCCTCAGGCGCCATCAAAAATTGTTATATCATGTTTCAAAATGATTTTAACATTATCGAAGTTGTCTATATTTAAACAACAAAAAACATTACGAAGCGTAATTGTTGCTCGAGTCGTATGCATAAAATGCAGCAAGTTATACGAAATGAAACTACTATAGGACAGAGAAACTATTTTAGATTTCGAGTTAAAGTTGCTTCGAGTGCAAAGGGTTAAGTTTCGCAGTTCAGTCATGGTATCGCGGTTCGAAATTCCGAAACCCTGGTTCGCGTAAAATCGGGAGAGCTTCGCTCCGGAGTTTTCCGCCGTTCGAACGGAATGCGCGTGATTTCGGTGCGTCGTTCTCATCTTCCGCCGTCTCGTGGACCCGGTCGTTTCACGCACAGCTGTTCGGCACAGCTTTAAAAAGTGTCCCAAGGCGAGATAGTTTATCGATTTCGTGCTCGTCGCCGCTCGAGACATTCGCGATCGCTTGAAACTCGGAGTACGAAGACACCGATGCGCATGATTTCTTTCGATATAAATTGAAATAAATATATCCTCGAGGTCTTCCTCAACATTCCGAGTCTTTCAACGAACCACGGGCAACGGAAACGAAACGTTGTTTCCATAAGATCGCGGACAGAATCCGGCGCGCTTTTGCGAAAGTGAACGGCGTAAGCGCCGCGATTAATTCTCCGCCATTAACGAGCAAGCAAACGCATTTCCGTTCGGACCGCGGCCCTGCCATAAATTTACCCGTAGAATTTCACTTTCGTCAGAAATCCGGCGCCGATCGCCGCAAGATATCGTCGTTCGTTCTCGCGACAAAATTCGGTTCGTTGCGAACGCGAAAACGAGGATGAAGAAAAGCCGTAAACGCGATCCGCGGGGAATAAAACGTATGTTACAATTAAAATGTACGATGCAGTGACGTCCGATTGCACGTGAAACGAAGACCAGGCTTCGATTCCGTTCGATTAGATCGCGGAGATCGACCGTCGCGGCGGCAGCGTCGCGAACGTTTTCCGGCCGATTACACGGGTGGCCGCCGTGAAACGTTGCGATTCCTGTTTCGCAAGGACCGATCCCACGGGTTTCACGGTCCGATCCGAACCTTCCTGTATCCCGCAGCTTTCCCTGGGGTCCGTATTCGTCGCCCGGAGTCGCGCCGCGGGTTTGTAACTTTTGAAAATCCGCGAGCGGCTGCACCGAGCACGCAACGATCCGCCCGGAGATGGAAAGTGACCTCCTTTAATGGAGGCCCCCACGGGCAATACTTGTCCCGGCGATCGAGTCATCGATTTCACTTTTGGCAATGGCCTCTACCGGGCCGAATGTTCCCGGTGTAATTCTTGTCGTTGTTCGCATGCCTCGCGCATACGAGCGCCGGTCGCCGACGCGGCTCGAATACTCTCTTGGGAGAACCGGCTCCGCCGGACCACCCTCGCCGGCGATCCATGATCCGTCTCGACGATCGATCGATCCTCCGCGTCGACGAATCAACCCTTTGCGGACGAGTGTCGGCAGACAGCCGGCCCCAAGTCTCGTTGTTCCTTCGTGACGGACTTTCGGCGGACGGATAGCAGACCAGCTAATTCTCTGCGATTTCGGCGAAAGCGTAGCTTTTTAGCGCGAAAGCGCTTCTTTTATTTCGTTGCACCTTTCAGTTTCTTGCAACAGAATTCTTCGCTTCTTTTCCCGCCGCTTTGTTTCTAGAAAAATCCTGCTTGTTCGACGGCAGATATCCTCGCCTTTCACGGGCGAGGATGCGATCGACGATAGATTCACGGAAGCCGACAAAATGGCGGCTCGCTAATATTTTAACACTATGCCGTCCGGTGGCACCGCGCTGGTGCCAAAAACTATGCGTTGTACGCCGATGGTACCACTTTGGTGCGTTTTAAAAAACTGAAATAACATTTGAACTATATTTCTTGGGTGTTGAAAGGCAGCGAACCGACTGTAGCATTGTGCTTTTATTTAACTAAGAATTAAGTACGAAAATTCTTGGATGACTTATCTTAATTTTAGGAGTTTATATTACCGCCATCATCGAAATCTTTTTTAAAATCTAAAATTTCCAAGCTATCATGCCGGCGTCAAA